GGGTCCCCCCATGGTCCCCTCCCCCCTCCTCCAGCCCCCACTCACACACCCCCTACTTACCAGCTCAGAGTCCGGCTGCAGCCCCCTGCTGCAGCCACCTGGGACTGTCCGAATCATCAAAGCTCTCTGAATCTTTTCTGAAGATTCAGTGAGATTTGAATTGATTTGGACCTTTTAATTGGTCCTGATTTAATTCTGATTTGGAGATTCGGCCACCGAATAGGGCCAAATCTCCTCCAAATCAAATCACCACCCGAAGCTTCGCACAGCCCTAATGAACACTGAAGGATATGAAGTGTCTGGTAGATCTGTGAGGACAGTGTTAGCATGCATGATGGAACACTGCTCCGTGACAGCAGGGTTAAGGCTGCACTGCAAGAGTGCTACATAAGCTAGCTTTGTTATTTAATTATTTACACTATTTAAGTGTCCTCCACATCCAAAGAGGCACAAGACTCCACCAGATCACTCTAACTCTGCATCGACAAAGTTCTGGGGCACCTAATTACCCGTCCAAATTTTTCCAAAATAACACGGTGCAGCATCTCCTCCTTCCTCTTCACATGAAATCCTTCAAAACCTGTATTTTCTTGTTGGGCTGCAGTAAGCTATGAAATATTTCTACAAATGCATCAGAAGAGAAGTAGCTACACAACCATATACAGCCTGCAGGAAAACATGTCCCAAAGCCATCTGCCTAGTGACAGCTCCACAGTACATCTCCACAGTTGCCTGCAGTAACGTTACATGATGATTTGGATTCCTTCTGAGGAGGGATGTGAACTCAGAGCAGTTGTCACTGCTGCTTAGGCAACATTATTTTATGATAGAGGGGTGGCAACATACAACCTGCAGGATGGATTCAGCCTGGAAGGCTTTGCCTCTGCTCCCTGTGCTGCTCCCTGTGCCTCCGCTCCCTGTGCAGAAGCCCCTGCATCTGGAAGCTGCACCTGCATCACTGTCACTTCTCTCTGCCCCTCCCTCCAGCTGCAGCACGGGCTTAGCTTCTACCCGGTCGCAAACTGAGCCAGGCTCTGAGCAGCTTCCATCTGTACCCACACTGCAGCCAAGGGGTGCAGTGTCACTGTGGACCAATCTTCTCTCCATAACTTCCTTGAATTTGGTGGCACCACACTTGAAAAAAAAAATTACTGTTGTACTGCCTTAGCTTACCAGGGAACTTCTTATTCAGCTCCACGTGCCTCTGTTCCCAGAAGACACAGGGGTGGGCAGTGTGGACCATCTTCCAGCTACCAGCTCAGTTCCCCACCAGCTGGAACCTGTGCTTGTGCCTCAGCCAGGGAGCCGGTGGGATGGAGAGGGAGGACAGCTAGGAAAAGCAGCAGCATCTGGCTCCAGCATGGGTGCAGACAAACCCCCCACTGCTGACATGCCACCAAAGCCCCCTGGCCCACACAAGACTGGGGCTGGGTTGTTCAGGTCCATGACTTATCAGGGTTACCAGCCCATGCTTTACAGCTTTAAGGTGTTTGCCAGTACCTGCTTTACTTTTTCCTCTTCTCCTACCAGAAGAAGAAAAAAAAAAGAAAAAGCAGAAAGATGCCATTCAAACCTGAAATAACACAGTATTTTTCACATACCAAAGGGCAACTTTCTCTCCATGTGCTTTGCAAGTGCCCCTACAATGGAGTCAGCTATAGGAACTGGCTCATCTCCAAGTAATCCTAACCTGGTGAGAGAGAGAAAAGAATGAAATGAGTACTGCTTTCCTTTGAAAATTGCATCTTCTATTGCCACAGCCTCAGAGATCAGGCCCTTTGTACATCTTTTTCAGAAAAACCAGTAGGGCATCAAGTGGAACGGTAATCATATGCTCGAAAGCTCAAAAGGAGGAATAAAAAAAGCAATTAAAAATTAAAATTTTATGCATTATTTAAAAAACAATCTCCTTTAAATTAAATCTGAATTTCTGAAAATCTGGTTTAAAGCTTAAACTTCTTATAGCCTATTAAAAATAATATGCTGCATCAATGAAACCTTAAGTTTTAAAGAGACAGACTGGTGGGGTTTTTTAATTATATATAGAGTCAGGAGAAATTTTTTCATCCTTTAAGATCAACTCAAATGTATAGATGAAATTGTCATATGATGTACTAAGCATCTATACTATTATAGTATTTACAGTGGCAGAAATGTTGCTATTTACATGTTTCCAAATTTAAGTATATTTACTTTATGTTGTACAGAAAGGCTCTTGTTTCATTTCAGTGCAGCTGCCTAGTGTAGAGGATAATTTTCTTCTAGTTTATTCAAAGTTAAGAAACTGATAGGGAGTTTCATAAACAACAGCTTGCTTTGATTTTTCAGTCTATGAACAAAAAATGAAATAGGAGAGGATTACTAAATGTAAAAACTTGAAGGAGATGGGGCAGATTTTTAAAGGTATCGGGCCTTCAAAGATGCAAATACATCTTTGTGAAATCTTTAAAAGCATCTAGCATTTAAATCTTATTGAAACCTAACCAAGGAGGCACATTTTAAAATTCCAACTAACATCTATTTACATCTTTAGGGGCCTAAATGACTTGGAAAACTGGTCTAGAGTGATCAGAAACTGTCAATTTACTAATTGCAATAAATACTTCTATTGTTTAATATAGCAGTTAGACTAAAATTAACACTATATTTTGGTAAGAAAAAGAAGTGCATTTATCTGGCACATTTAAAGGATTCTTTTATTATTTAACTGATAAAAACTACTTTAAAGTGTTATAAAAACCATTTTAATTCAATTGGAATTTCATTCAAGTATAGTTTGACACAAATTACAAGTAAAACACTTAATCCTCATCCAGCATGTTATAACATGCATTATTCAGCATTCTCTAATGCAGAGGTGTTAAGCTCTTCTGGCCCTGTAGGCCAAATGAGTGGTGCAGGGCTGGCCCCACAGAGCCCTTCCACTGGCCCTTGCTAGATCCTGCACTTGCAGTGCGTACTCCAGCCCATCCATGACCAGGCCTGCAGAACCAGTCGAGGCTGCAGCCCACATGCAGCATCCACTCTGCAGACAACACACAGCATCCACATGGCGCCACCACAGGCAGCACAGGTCGCGAAGTAAGCAATGCATGTGACATGTCCAGGTAGCTGCATGAAGTGCAGGCTTTGAGCCAGCCAGAGCAGGCACTGTCCAATGCATGTCCTGGACCCTGATGCCACATTCTGCGGGTGGGTCCACTGGACCCAGGGGCAGCACCAGGGGCTGTATAACTGAGCGCCATGGGCCATATCTTTGACACTCCTGCTCTAGCATAATAAAAATGTGTAAAAATTAAGAATCTGAATATATACTGATTTGTATTACTGTTTAATTCAGTATGCCTGTAGACACAGGGCATGTCTACACAAGACACTTTACTCAAGATCAGAGCAAATTACTGTGCAGTAGGCATCACCGTCTACATGCACAGACACTTGCAGTACAGTAATTTGCTCTAACTGTGCATACATTTGTTCCCTGTAAATACAAGTAGCAAATTTACTTGTGATTACTTACTGCGCCACAGGTCACGTGTAGATGGCTGCAGACAGCAGGGGACGAGAGATTGCTCCCTGCCCCCCAGGATTTGCCTGCTGCTGGGGCGCAGAAGCCTGGGTGTGGATAATGTCCTTGTGCCCCAGCAGCAGGGCGCTCACACCTCCCACTCCCTAATCACAATCACAGAGCAAAGGCTGGGGAGATTGTTCCCAGATGTAGCTCCCCAATCGCAATCATGGAGCAGGGGCTGGGAACAGACTGGGAACCTGAAGCTTCCCCTGGCTGCTGCAGAGGGCCGGTGCAGGGCCAGAAGCAGACTGCTGTCACGAGCAGCAGGATCTGCTCCCGCATCCCTGAACGTGTAGACACCTGCCCAGGGTAGGTTTAACTCTAGAGTAATTGACTGTAGAGTAAGCCCACCCCAAAACAAATGCACGTGTACATGTACCCACAAAATATCCGACTGGTTATCATATTTTGAGGGTAAAAGGTATATTTTCATATATAGCTCTGTGAAGGCTGTGCAGTACTTCTGCAAATGCTCCAAAAACAGAAAGTAGAGGATAAAGTTTTACTGTCTAAAAAAATTTTTTTTTCAAGGTTCTTTTTATTTTACTTTCTCAATGGCTGAACACCACATTTGAAAAACAGCATCTGGAACCTGAAATGTCTTCTCCACTGGATCATAACAAAGCTAACAGAACCCAAAATCACAACTTTGCCTCTGCTCTTTATGGCATATTGTTCTACTCTTATGGTAGGCTGAGCTGAACTCCAAAGAATCCATTGCTCCCCAATATTTTGGATACCTAAAGACTCAAACCTCTCAATAATTCTCCAGTATATTAACAGTGAAGGCTCAGGCTAGCTGAAGTCTCTCTTTATGCAACACTTCCACATGTGAAATATTTGGCAAAGCCTGCTGGTTAATCTGAATAATTGAAACATATATTTAAAGTAACAGAACCAGCAAGTAATTTTTAACGCTTCAAATAGTTACTTTTAGCAAATATCCCCATTCTCGTTCTGTGCCCTTTTTTTCTGGATGTTTTAAATGTTTTGTTTAAAGAACAAACATTGCTGGAATCTCCTACCATTCCACTGCCTCCAGCTGACTGTTGTCCTTTCCCAGCTTATTGTAGACGGCTTCTTTAAGACTGCTGGATTTGACAGATGGTTTAAGTCCAAGAAGCTGGCACATCAACCCTTTCTAGGTACAAAAGAAGTTCAAACAGCAAATTACTACCTTAAAGACCTGCCCTCATTCTCTGAAGATTAAATCTGGGGCAGCTAGTTATTCTACGGGTGCACGTCACTGAGGACTGGCTAATGTGCAGGGTTTGAGAGAGAAGAAGATTGTCTGTGCTCAGAGGGAAGCAGGGCTAGACAAGAACTCTTAATTGCAAGTGCAAACTGGTCTCCTCCCTGATTGGCACACTTGCATAAATGCGCACATGCATGCCCATGCACACACGAGCACACGCGCGCACACACACTTGCATTTTTTCATCAGCAACCTCTTTCCTGGCCTTGTGACCTGCCCCCTGCTTCAGCAACAGAAAAAATCTACCAAAATGCCACTAGGGAGGGACACATCAAATCCAAAAGTGCTTTATGGTGACTGGTGGACAGCAGCAAACAGCAAGTGAATGAGAAGCCTAAGGTCCTCAAGGCAGATGTGAAAGTTGGATTTAGGATGGTTAAGATCTCAGTCTGAACAAAGGAGGTATCCATTGGTGAGATTAATATGCCACAAGCTGAGAGAAGGTCATCTGAAGACAGGTGGAGCTACATATCAGGTGCCTAAGGGCTAATTACACCAACAGTTCTAATTTTAGACTCACTGTCTCAGAAGAATATTTACCAAAAATGTCTCAGTAATTGTTATAGATAGGCTGATGGGCTTTTGTGCTGTTAAATGATAAAGGCTGCTGGTTTCACCCTCTTCCCGAAGCATAACAGTGGAAGTTATAAAGAAAAAGACATGAAGTGATGTCTGGCTGTTATAAAGTCAGTTCAAAAACCAATGCCTTAGAAGACTGTACAAGAGAAATGCCTCGCCTGCCCGTCCCAGTTCCCTGCCCACCTGTAGCCCCATCCCATCTGCCCAGCCAAGTGCACCCTGCCCACAGGAGTCCCAGCCGGTCTCCATGAAGACCCTGGCTGCTCCCCCACCCAGCAGTGAGTGCAGGGTAGACAGGCCAGGTTGCCCACGCAGTGGGACCATGTCCAGCAGTAGTAATGCAGGCAGCAGCAACTGCTGTGAGGGCTCCGAGGAAGCTGAGTCCTGCTGCCACACTGCCCCTGCCCTGCCACACACCTGGGGACAGTGGGACCACCCTCCCAAGCCATAGCCCAGGCTATCCTCTGCACCTGGACCAGGTGGGGCTGAGGGATCTTCTGTGGGCTGGATAGAATCCCTTGGCATGCCAGATCCAGCCCTGCAGGCTATATTTTGCCCACCCTTGAGCTACATCATATGCCCTGAGAGCAGGAAATCTGGCTTTTAGGCCCATCTCAGTCAGAAGGGTTTGAACCTGAATCTCCTGCTTCTCAGCAAAGAGCTCCAGCTATTAGATTACAGGTTAGGTATTAGCCTATGTCAGTCCCTTGAAGTTGACCCCCTGCACCCTGCATTTAATGATCATTGGCCAAAATGGATATATGACACTGGGGAAGTTTCGGCATCACTGCAGACTGGGGCCAAGACTATAAGCCAGTTCCCCTCCTATCCAGGGCAGCATCCAACTAACCGAGCTACATGCATGATTGCTTGTTCTTTTCCTCCTGGCTCCATGTCTCCCCCTCTCAGCTGCCCTATCTCCACCTGACCCTTTCCACATAGCATCATTTGCAGACATCCTTGAACAAACAAAATCAGGTATGCTGTGGACCACTACTGTGGAGCAGGGTGGATAAAAATCAACTATTTTTTTATTTAACCGTATTTTTAAATTTTTTTTGTTAAGATGCTTTTAAAAAAATAAACCTATATAAAGATAGTTTTAATTTAAGATACATTATTGCTCAAAGATGATATCACGGAATAGGAATAGGGACTATAATGTCTAGTGATATACTATTTGAGACAATATAGTCATGTAACCTTTTTGGAACAGTTTTATAAATAGGTCACAATAGGCTATGGGCTATATTAGGGGTCCAGTCTTATAGGGTTCCCAGACCCTCCTCCATAGATTAGTAAAGATTAACGAAAACCACTCTACCCAATGGGACTCAGTGCACAGTCTAGATGATCTTATTAAGCATCTCTGTGATACTTAGTTTCAGTTCTCAAATCGTTGACTTGTCTCTCCAGTGATAACATCCTTATAAAAAGCAATATATGAAAATAGAAGACAACAAACCTCACTACCTGCCCTCAACCCTATTATCTCTCTGCAAGTTTGCATACACAGATTCAAGCCCTTACCTCTCTTTAAAAGTGCAAAGTTTCCAGAAATTAATTGAACAGAGGATTGTTGGGGGGTGGACTAGATCTGGGCAAGGGGGAGGAGTCTGGAAACGAATGTAAGGAGAGAGGAACAGTAGAAACAAAAGAGAAACATTTTGAGCAAACTATTCCAGAAGTCCTGAGGGATAAGTTTCTGAGTATAGAAACTTATCTCTGTTTTTTTGAGATCTAGTGAGGGAATGATATGGTAGAAGGGAAAACCAATCATGACAGCAGGCTTGCAAGGCCATAAAAGAGAGCCCATTTGGGAATATTTTAATGAAGGTTATATCAAACAACAATAATGCACTTTTTGTAGAAAACAGTAATTAAATCGAGGCTTCCTGACCAGTGACTTAAATCATGACTTAAATTGATTTGATTTAAATCAAATCCACCCTGCTGTGGAGTCATCAGCAGTTGCATTAACAATGGAACTATGCTGATTTATACCACTGGAGTATCTGCCCCTGGATGGCGTTTGCCAAAGCAAATCAGCAGAAAATTTATGGCAGAAAAGATACCAGTCATTAAGATGAGCCTCCTTGCTAATAGAAAGCATGGGAGAGTAAACTGCAACACAGGATTCCCAGTGTGGCTTAGACCCCACACATGATAACAAAAAAAACGAAGGAAAACAGACAACTAGATAAAATCCTATACTCACCCAGGTTATAGATGGTGCAGTTGCACTCACCAAAGGATAAGGATCTGAGTTTACTAATCCCAATTTTACAAAGCCTCCCACAGCTTTAGAATATCCCTAAAATAAGCAAATGTGTGGTTATATATACTTGTCACTTGACATTGAGGGTGGACAGTTTTAGGCTTTCCAGTAGCTAAATAAAATGAAAAACAGCCCTGCTTAATGTAGCTCACATGGGAAATCTGCCATAGTCACATATGCCACAGGGGGCAAGAGCCTCACTAAATGCTGCCTATGGAAACTTCAACTTTATAAAAACATTTTTTGCATTGAAAAAAATGTTATTTGATTTTTTTTATTTTTAAAATCAGATGTTTATATACGATTCTATTAACCTGGTACTTACTCTATTTTTAAAAAGCTATAAACCACCCCTGACAGTTTCTTAAAACATTTTCCTAGCCTTGCTGGTATCTGATTCACACAAATTCACCAACTGACTGAAAATGGGAAATAGAGAAACTTCTCCTTGTTTCTTGGTTATAGGCAATTTTTGTCATAGCCACAAAAGAAAAGCAAACATGAAGGTAGAGATATTTTTACATTTTGAGCTGCAGTTTCAACAACCGTAGCTACCATTTGTAAAAACATCAGATATGGAAAAATGGCAAAGTGACTTAAGTGTTTCTTTGATTTGCACTACTTAAAAACTGTCCAAATTCTATATGTTCTTAGTTTTTTTCCTCTTTTTTTTAAGCACACACTTCCAAAGATCTTACCTTGTATCTTAAGGTGCCTCTCAATAAAGTGTGAGCTGACTGAATACCATATGGTTCGGCATATTTTGTACTGTCTCTGTTGGGAAAACCTTCCAAATTTAATCCTGGGAAAAAGTCCATGGGAATAACAGAATCCAGCAAAGCTCCTCCAGCTGGAATATTAATCACCTAAGGGTTGTGAAAAAAATAATATCAGTCTAAGTGCACTATAATTTAGGTAGTTTATTCAAAGAATAAACAAGAAGAACGTTTTTCCTTGGAATGCCCACTGTACTTTAGCACTATCATTTATTTTATGCTTAGTAACAAGGAGCCAGCTTCCGATTTAATTTATATCACTGTAATTCTGGAGCCACTGCACTACTTTGTACCAGTACAAGTAAAACAAGAATCTGGCTACACGCAGGTTTGCATCTTGCATTTTTGTTTTGGTTTCTGGATGTAAAGCCAGGATGGGAAATAGATTTTTTTTTGAGATGATAATAATCAAGTGCCACTACGTGAGTATAAAATTGCCTCCCACAAACAACTTCAATCACTACGAAAAAGCAAGCAAATATAAAGAATGTATTGCTGGGAAGGAATGAGAGAAAAAAGATGACTAGCTCTATTATCTCTGCTGTCTAAAACCTTGAACTTGGCTTTCTTCAAGCAGCTGATGCACAGATTTGCTAACCAGCATCAATAAAAATTCCTTTTGTGGCTTCTGAGCAAGAGAACAATATTTCCTTCTAAAAGGCAACGTGTAGCAGTGAAGTCTGTAGCAATGCCACAGGGTTTTATTGTGTGTTGTCTTAGATACCTGAGTGGAAGAAGCCCACACAAAACAGGCAAAGAGAACTATGGAACTAGGGGCAGGGAGTAGGAATTGCTGCATCTACTAAAAAGCCCACAAGGGACCTCATAACAAATCCTTGACATCCATGCTGTAATTTTTACTAGCTCTGGATGAACCAGCCCAAAATTAAACAAGAGATACTATATATCCACTAAGGGAAAATTTCATATAAATTTGTACTGATTTCTTTTTTCACAAAAAAATTCAATTCACAATCCCAAATCTCTCATGATTTTTCAGGGTCACCAGAACATGAAAGCTCCAATGTGTCACAAAACAGCCTATTTTAAAAGATTTCCAACACAAGTTTTCAGTTCCGAGGAAAATTATCCAAATTCTAGTGTGGTTAGACAAAACTACACCACTAGACTTTGAAAGTCAAACCATGGAGCAGTTTATAAAGGCAAGCAGGGATGGTTTAATAGATCAAGCACAGGACTGGACACCAAAAACTCAGTAGTCTTGGCTCTGACACTGACTTGCTATGTGGCCTTCAGCAAGTTGCAATCTCTGTGCCTTTGTTCCTTGCACCTGTAAAATGGCCATAGCAATGCTCTACTTATTTCTCTACTAGGGCTGCGTGAAATGGCTGTGTTTCAATTTGGTTTCGGATTCGGCTGTTTTGAAGGACAGTGATTTGTTTTTGTGTTTCAGATCACTGTCCTGTTTTGTTTCAGCCGAATCTGTTTCAGAGATACAGCTTCACTGAATCCGTTTCGAATGGGCTGCAAGCTTCACACATCCCTACTGCCCAGCCAGGCAGGGCTGCAGGGCCCCAGCAGGCAGCAAGATGGGGTCGTGGGTGGCTCATTTAGGGGAGGGGGAGGGCCGCTGCCCTCTGTGCAGGCAAGGAGACCCCCCGTGCAGATCTCTGATCCCTGTCATGCTGGGTTGCAGGGCAGAGAAACAGCACAGAGTGGTGAGCAAGCCTGCTAGTCCCTGCAGCACGACTGCTCCATGGGGAGCAGAGATCTACACCAGGCATCTCCCTCACCACCGTTGCCTGCCCCATGCTGCCCCGGATCTCTGCTCCTTGCAGAACAAGGTCATGCAGCAGGAACCACCACTGCCCTGCCATGCGACCTGGCTCCGCAGGGAGCAGGGATCCACGCCAGGAGTCTCCTCACTGCCACTGTCCATCCCGCACTGCCCCAGATCTCTGCTCCCTGCAGAGCCAGGTCATATGGCAGAGACGAGCACTGCCCTGCTGCGTGACCTAGCTCTGCAGGGAGCAGAGATCTGCACCGGGGGTCTCCTCGCCGTCACTGCCCGGTCCCATGCAGCCCTGTGTCACCAGGGTAGCACGGGGCATCCAGTGGCGACAAGAAGGTGCCCAGAACAGATCTCAGATTCCTGCAGAGCCGAGTCGCACAGCAGGGCAGAAGCGTACAGCTGTTTCCCTGCAAGCCTGGCTGCAAAATTTTCCAAAACATTTACAAAACATTTTGGATGCCTCATTTCGTTTTAGAGATGGTTTGGAGCCTTCCATTTTGATTTGGATTTAGTGTTTCAGATGCCAAAACAGCCCAAAACGCCTCCAAAATGAAACAGCTGCCAAAATTTTGCACAGCCCTAATTTCTTCATATGTTTATACAGAATTTTACCACTGACTACACCACCAGCAGAACAGGGTTCAGATAATATCCAATGACGTGCTGACAGCTCTACGACAGCATCTAACAGGAACTGTTACTTATTTTTACTATTGGCACTACAGTAGCAACTACAGTGCACTGCCCCCCCCCCAAGCATGATCGGGGATGGGCTAGGCACAGCAAAAAACACAGTCAGAGACAGTTCTCAACCAAGGAGTTTGTATCTAAATAGACAAGAGAAATATTAGGAGCAAAGAGACATTGCCATCTCTGTTCTGCAGACAAGAACCAGGCACAAATAGATAAGTGACACAAAAAACATGCAGCAGGGATGGGAATGAACCAGTCTTCAAATCCCTCCAAATCCATGTCAGCAACCTGTGACCTGTAGGTCAGATCTGACCCATGGACATTGGGCTTTGGCTGCAGGTTCCCTCTTCATGCTGCCATGGGCAGAAGCAGCAGCTGCAAGCCAGTCCTAGTACCTACCCATCCCTCTCTGACCCAAGCTGATTCACTCTGGTTCAGCAACCTGAAAAAGTTGCTGACCACTGCTCTAAGTGACAAGTATTAGCTTGTAACCACAAGCTACAAAGCACACTAGCATGGCAAAAGGCATGGCAGTGCCTTATACTAGCCACAAGGCATAGCAGTTCACAGTCTGAAGTTCAAACACAAAGATAACAAGTGATACAGTGATAACTATCGGAGGAAGGACTTAAAATAATGCAACATCTCACAGATTCCAATTCCCTCTTTAGTTCAAGACCTCTCTTCCCCCGCATATTTAAACAGAATTCCCAGAGTTACTTTACCTCTCCATTTTGTAAATATACAGCAGGTTGAACTGTATTCAACAAGACACCCTGTGGACTCCAGCTGAATTTGTATCGCAGAGGGTTGTCAGAATATTCAGGAGCTGGCAGGCCACCGCAGAAGGAAGTGTAGGAGACAACCTATAAATAAGTGCAACTGATTAGTGGAGTTCCACTGGTCTGGGGCAAAAAAAAAGACAACAACAAAACTAACCCACTTTAAGATGCACAGCAACAAAAAGTCAGCTGCCAGAAAGAATCACCACTGAGCTGCTCCATGATGCTCAATATTGTCTGTATATTAAATCTCTTTTGCCAATATTTCCAGGAAGATGTGAATGAGATAGAAAGGTTTAAGATTATTTTATGCAAAACAGCATTCATGATTTTTACATGTTCAAAAAGCAACATGGAGTTTATTCACTGGACTGTCACTTTGGGGACTTTGGAAAAGATCTTCAGCCAGTATACTGTAAGATGTGACAGCTCCCCACTGACTTCACTTGCTTGAAGTGTCAGTCTTTGGCAGTTAGGGATTCAATTCCTCAGCTCTCATCAGGGTGGAATCCCTAGTTGCTTGTTTTCCACCAAGAGAATATCATCCAAGTTGTAATGTTGCCAAATATTTCCCAGTGTTTAGGGACATCAGTCAGCTTTGCTGAGGAAACAGTTTTTCAGTTAAACCTGATGTCAGTACAGCCTGGTTTAAGCTTGCCTAGTCTGCCACTTTGTGGTGCCTGACACTAGCCTCCCATTTCCAGAAACCTACTTAAGGAAAAAGCAAACTCAAACACAGAAAAGACAATCCAATCAGCAACAAGGCAAATTCATTTCAGATGGTGCGCAAATAGAACAGCAGCCACCAGCAGCTATTCAACACACCTACTTATGTGACTTGTTGGCTTAGCAACAAAACTGTCTGGAGACCACTACTCTTGGCACTTCCACTGCAGTCTCAGCCAATAAACCAATAACTGAGTATGACAACTATGCACCATCTATACTCTATTACTTCCCACAGAAATGGTGAGGCAGAATGGCCGGGCTGTGTGGGAGAATATGGACTGTCCTTCCTTGGTGACAGTCTTGCACATTTCACAAGTACATATGTAAGTACATGTACACACACACACACACACACACACACACACAGAGCATCCAATGGAGTTTTGCTAATTTATCACAGGTAACCCATGAAAACTAGAGTTTTATTATAAAAGGATATCTTCAGGTGAGCTGAGCCTAATGTCTAATGCCTCAGAAGACAGGCAGACAAATAAGGATCCCCATTCTGTTGTAACCCTGGGCATGACACTGGAAACAAGAAGGAGGATAGGCTCATTACATTTAAAATGGACCAGCAGACTGCAAAAAGGATTTCTAGAAGTGACAACCAGAAAGTTTTGGAGATTTTAAAGAGATCAAAGGTAAGGAAGATGTTGATGTGCTTATTGGGCCAGGAGCTAATGAAGGATTATGAAGAATATTTACAGTTTATGTTTGGCAAATCTTAGGTTACTGCAACAAGACTTCTGCAATAGCAACAAAATGTTTTCTAAGTCAATGATGGCTCTTCTGCTTTAATCCCTGTGAGAGCATTGAAGCAACTCAACCACTGAAAACAAAATTGACACTATTGCCCTTTTGGTAACTGTTACCTAAGAAATGCTTCCTTCCAGCAGCAGGTGCTCCTTACACTTCCATTTCCCACTTGCAGTGGGAAAGAGCATGTTGCTTTCCAAAAGATTAGCTGTTCCATTGTAAAAGCGTATGCCATGTGGTTGTACACTATGCTACTAGGAAGTGCAGTCACTTCACAATTCTCCAGTTCATGCAGGCTAAATGCAACTGCTTTGCTAGCGTTCTTACAACCAGTTCATCCAAGTTTTAAAATACAACTACAAAGATTTTCTAAAAGACTAGGGAAGTAACTCCATTGCATAGGTATAGCCCAAGGTGAGCATCATTGCATTCTGTACTGACATTTAGCATCATCAGGCAATCTAATCTGTGGACACTAGCAGCTGAATCATCCAAAAAAGCCAGTCACCAATGACAGCAGCAAGTACTAGTTCATACTGAAGGGACAACAGTTTTATAAGAACAATTCTGGCAAAAGTGTGCCTATGTATCATGTCACCCTTACCGTAGCGCCTACTTCTTTTGCCTTATCAATACATTCCATTGCCAACATATGATCAAGGCCAGGATCCAAACCCATTTCACTGATAACCGTAATACCAGCAGCTTCTACACTGAAATAATAAAAGTACAGTATTATCAGAAGATTCCATAATGCAGGACTTTTGTTCCTGAAGCCTGAGTTGTACCATGACAATCCGATGGCATCCATTACTAGCTAGGGACAAAATATAAATATTAGGACCTGCAGTCTGTGGAAAATAGAGGAGCAAGTTATCTTTGTAAAGCCCACTCTTATCTGCTAAGGGGGCTATTGGGTCTGCTATAATTTATGGCAGACTCTACAGCCCAAAACCAATTATTCTGTGCATAACAGACAAGTCCTCTGTGCTGGTAGTTATGTGGAAGGCCAACAGAGAGCTGCTTACAGTAGATCTACACAGCTCCTGTGCAAAGGGAATTCTTCCCCAACCCCTTATGTTAGCTTGTTTATTCTTTTAATGACCCCTACGTGTACTAGGTATGGAGTGGGAATCTTCCCCATGGAGCAGATGTGAAGAGAAAGGTTATTTTTAAATTCTGTTTCATATAGTCTCAAATGAAAATTAAATCAAATCCTTTTCACATAAGTGTTGTCTTGTTTTTTCCCCTCTGGTGAAGTTTCTTTCTGCCTACTAAAGCTGCAAAATATTAGGCAAGATTTACATTATAGACATCCATCAGCTATGTAGGTTAGAGTTCTGTTGAGGTACAATTTGTGACTAACAGCTATGCAGGCAAAAAGTTCCTGGCATGAACATATACATACCAGCAAAATTTGCTTTATTCATGAGGAATAGTTTTATTATGCCAATGAACAAATACAGCATTGCTGGTATATCTAAATTTACAGTAACATTACTTTACCAGTAGAATATATTGGTAAAAACTGCATAATATAGACACAAATAGCCTCTGTATTAGTTGATTAGCTAAGTAGTAAGGGATATTTATAGGGCCTTAAGTATTTCTTTTAATTCACCCAACCAAAGCCTCTGATCCATAAATGTGTCTGATCTTCAATCCCAACTCCTGAACATGCTCCTCAATATCAGCTTCAAATTCCTTGCAAATTATTACAATGACTTACATTACATTTGCATTTTCGGAATGTTATGATGGCTTTTCAGTATTTTTAACATGTTCTTTGGATATGGATACTATAAATTAATGAGAAAAAGAAACAAGTATCTTATCTACCTGATAGACTTCTTTAGGCTACTTCACAGTGCTCTGGAAGAGCAATGCATTAATGACAGGAAGACATTCTCATCTCATTCACCTAAAATAACTCTACTGATTTAACAGCAGACCATTTGAGTTGAGTAGCTGACTGAAGGGCTGTATCCCAAGCATTGTTTTTGTCCAGACGTAATTGGTGATAGAGAAGATGCAGTGGAATAACATGAAGTGACTTGGCAGGTTCCAGTGACTAGAGCATTAGCTTGACAAGCTTTGAGACCTGCATTCAATTTCCTGATTTGTCAGTCGACCTCTAAGAGTTTAGGCAAGTCAGTAACTCTGTACTTCATACAGTGTCAGCTGCCATAGTAAAATCAGAAAACCAGTAAGCCATGAGATCTTAAGAACCTAAATACATCAAAGATTGCAAGGAATACGAATAGTAAGGGAACATGGACCATATAAAGTAATTAAAAAAGAATGACAGCATCTTACTACTGACTTTCAGACCTACCTTTCTTGGAGTTCTTTCATAGCTGGTGTTAGGTAGCTAGCTGTTACCAGGTTTACTTTACTATCAATGCATTTCTTAGCAACTAAAGGATGTGCTGAATAAGGCAGCAAGCTGCAAACAAACAAAAAAGTACATCAAAATCTAACCAGTTACTTGTATTTTGACTTGAAGACAATTTGCAAAAAGTTTTCCTGCATTTAGAAAGTCTATTAATACAAAGGAACTTTGGCCTTGCACTACTTTCAATGTAGGTTTATGCCTATGCGAATGAGCATAAAATGCTACCTAATTGGAATAGCTTGGAATAGCATTGTTTAACAACTGCTTCATACAAAGCGCACACAGGGGAAAAGTGGGTTTCATAGTTTCATAGTTTCTAGGGTCGGAAGGGACCTGAGCAGATCATCTAGCCCGACCCCCTGCCATAGCAGGAAGAGCACTGGGGTCAAATGACCCCAGTAAGGTGGTCATCCAACCTCCTCTTAAAAACCCCCAGGGTGGGAGCCTGCACCACCTCACTTGGAAGCTGGTTCCAGACCCTAGCCGCCCTGACCGTGAAGTAGCGCCTCCTGATGTCCAACTTAAACCTTCCCTCTGCCAGCTTGTGACCATTGTTCCTGGTCACTCCTTGCGGCGCTCGGGGGAACAGGGACTCCCCCAGCGCCTGCTGATCCCCCCTAACCAGTTTATAACAGGCCACAAGATCCCCCCTCAGCCTTCTCTTTTGAAGGCTGAACAGGTTCAGGTCCCGCAACCTTTCCTCATAGGACCTACCCTGCTGTCCCTTGATCATACGAGTGGCCCTCCTCTGGACCCTCTCGATGCTGTCCACATCCCTCTTAAAGTGCGGTGCCCAGAACTGGACGCAGTACTCCAGCTGCGGCCTGACCAGTGCCGCATAGAGGGGGAGGATCACCTCCTTGGACCTGGGTTCAAGCACTCTCAATTGTTTGCATGCCTCATCTTTTACACTTCCCCTTGTGAAAACAGAATCATGTTTTCTTCTCAGTGCCACGTTCAAAAATGGTGTGCACTGTGTTTTATCACTTAAATCTGGTAAGCTGGCTTTGAAGCAGCTTTCATGAAAAAGGTCTGGCTGAATTACCTCCCAAGACAGAAAGCCTGAAAAGCAGCCATCAGGCACAATATATCTCAGGTATGGGGAGGACTAGAAAGCAGTTTCCAACCCTACTTCAAAGCTCAAAAAAAGAACAATTTCTGTAACTGTTTAGTAGCAAAGGTTGAATTTTCAGAAGTTGGCATCTGCATGTATGTGCACCATTACCTGTTTGCACCATGTAATTTGCACATGCAGATGATAGGTTTTGTACATGAAAAAATCATCTCATGTAGACTCATGAGAGTTTAAGCAAGTAAAGTTGCATACCTACAAAGACAGACTGCTTTGAGGCTCATTCAGTTATCTTCCCCTTAAAATCATCTTGCCACTTTAACAATCAGGAAAGAGTTATACTGCAGTAGAGACAATTCTGATATACTTGTTATATGAAGACACAATGTCCAGTCACATCCCCTTCTATGCTCCCAGCTCATGCACATTTCCTGACACTTGGAGCTATGAGCAAAGAAGACCTATTTGTTTTACACCACTTAAGAATTCCTTGCACACTGGTAAAACCCTATGGCTAAGTACAGACATTCAAAAGCCCAAAGCGGAATTGATCAAAGTTATGCAGTTTCTGTATTTTAGGTCGGTAGCAAACAGAACACACATTCGCACTTTGGTGGTGGGGGTGGGGAAACGGAGGCAAATCTTAGACCTGGTTCCACCTGTATATGTGCCAAATATCTGTTCTGTTATGGGTTTCCAATCACTTATACTGGTAAATGTGTAATGTCTGTACCTGGCCTATGTGGCTATTTACAGAGCTATACAGATGCCTTATTGCAGCAGAGTTCAGTGTCATGTCTACCACATTTTACTCAGAATTCTGACCTGATTACGAGGTCATGCTTCTTCACCAAGGTGGACAGTTTGTCCTCATGCTTAATAACATCCATAATTACAGAAGTGACATTGCTGTGTTTCTTGGTCAGCTGTTCAAGTTGTTCCTTCATAAAAGATGCTGTTTTAAAAAATAAGAATATCAACTGATAAATAGAAATCAAGTCTCCCCCCACCCACATGTGAAGGTGAGCACCAACAGTACCTTCTTCCCTACTGAATAACCCAGTTGTCATGCAAACTCCACTACCAGCACTTCTGTTGTGCATGTGCCTTAGCAAATGGATAATTATGCTCCCTGTCAATCTCTCTCTTTCCAAAGTAAAGCAGTTGCACTGACCCAGTAAAATAAAAAACAAAGCAAAAACAAACAGTTGATGGCAAAGCAAATGTAAAGCATCTTGCTCCTTTAAACATCAAATTGCTAGTGTCAAGCTACAGCCACAGTAATTTAAAAACAGGGATCTGCTGGGAATATTTATCCTCAGAAATAAAAAGCCGCCTATGCCAAGGGAATTGCAGAATCCCAACAAGGAATCAGAACCTTTGCTCAAATTGTTTTAATCCTTCCTGTTCTTTCTTATTTAATTTTGATTCCAACTCTTCATATGAGCCTTATCTGCTGTCTTGAATACCATCAGGTATTTTACCATAAGAATCAGAGTGATTTATGGTCTCACCTTTAACTTACTGGACACCAGCATTAACCAAAACAGGGGTGTGCTCCATGTACCATGGAACTATCACCCTTCCTTCCAGTCTCCTTACAACACAGCTCTCATGTATCAAGACCATGTTATTCATTGTCATCTTGTAAAGTCTGCTTTGAAAGAGAGCTGTAACTTCTAGAGCAGGGGTGGGCAACATACGGCCCGCCGGCTGGATCTGGCCTGCCAAACCATTCTATCCAGCCCGCAAAGCCCCTAAAAGATTTAGTAAATTAATATTTATCTGCCCCGGCTCCCTGTCAAAGCTGGCTGGAGCCAGGGGCAGTGGGACCCAGAGGAAGCCCTCAGTGGGCTTGCAGGCTTGAGCAGCTCAGCCCTGCCTACCCCCAGTCAGTTCCCTGCTTTCCTGCCCCCGCTCTGCTCCAGCAGCACATGGCTGTGGCTCCCAGTTGCATCCCCAGACCACAGAGTATGGGACCGTACTGGTAGGGGCATGTATGTGTGTGCACACGCACATGTCAGCAGGCACAGGGGCAGAATATATGCGTGTGTGTGTGTGTGTGTGTGCGTGTGTGTGTGCACGCACATGGAGGCACAGGGGCAGAGAGTGTGTGTGTGTATGTCTGTATGTGTGCATTCATAGGGTGAGTCCCACACACACACACCCCTCCATACACATGCACCTATACCTCCCCTCACACAGCTATACACAAACCCC